TCCCTTGTTGTTTCTTGCCTGTTTTCATCTCTAGACTGTCAGCTCCCTGAGGGCAAGGGAGTTTTGTCTGTCCTGTTCATCACTGTGTCTCCAGAGTCTAGAACAGGGCCTGGCACACAGTAGGTGCTCAGTAAATGTTTGTTGAATGAAGCAGGCCTGGGCCAGGAGAGCACGCCAGTGGATGTGGGTGCTCCCAGGAGCTGCAGAGGGAGGTGCCCCATTCTGTAGGTACAGTGACTACTCAGCAGGAAGGGAAGCTGGTGCCAGGGTAAAGGGGGACGTCAGGTGTCTTCACAGGCTCAGACAGGCAGCGGTTGCATGCCCGAGTGTTGGTGCATCTGTGTGCCTGACAGGGTGGGTATAGGGGTGCAGGGATGTGGAGCCATCCCAGGCCCAGGCCTCATGTCTGCATTCCCCTCCCCCTAGATTACTCAATGCGCCACATTGGCCAGTTCTTTCGTTCCAACTATGTGTTCCTGTTCCAGCTTCCCTGGCTGCCCGAGAAGTTGTTGTCCATGTCTGACTTCCAGGTGAAGTAGAATGAAGGCCTGGGGCGGTTGTGGGTGGAGGGCAATTGGTTGGGTAGATGGAGCACTGAAGCCAGAGTCTTGCTTTGTTCTCAGATCCTGAAGACCACCCTCACCCACCATAAGAGGGGCATCCCACGCTTGAGCCCCAATGAGCTTGAGGCCTTCCTTTATGACTTCTCACAGCCCGGTGGCCTCACCGGGCCCCTCAATTACTACCGAAACATCTTCAGGTAAGTTCAGACCCAGGCAGAAGCTCAGGGGTGTTGGTGGGGAAGGAGGTGGGGGCAGCCATCCTTCTGCCTGTCTTGTCTTGGTCATAGGAACTTCCCCCTGGAGCCCCAGGAGCTGGCCACGCCCACCCTGCTGCTGTGGGGGGAGAAGGACAGCTACTTCGAGCATGGGCTGGTCGGGGCCATCAGCAGGCGCTTTGTGCCCGGCCGGCTGGAAGCCCACATTCTGCCAGGCGTGGGGCACTGGATCCCACAGAGCCACCCCGAGGAAATGCACCAATACATGTGGGCCTTCTTACAAGACCTGCTGCACTAGTGGCCCTTGCTCACTGGCCTGCGTGCACCTGGGAGACCACACCGTGTACATACACAGGTGCTCTCTTGGATCATGCACAGGGGTGGAACTCCTAGATTGCACACAAGAGCATCTGTGGGTGTCCTGGAGCACACCAACCCGTATACTCACAGGCATGAGTGTGTACCTGTGAGCAAGCACTTTGACTCCAGGAAACCAGGGATGCCTCTACTCCATGGACCTAATGCTATGTTCTCTCTCCCTTCCCTGGGGCCCCAGTTTTCTTGCCAGAATCAGCACCCTGAAACCCTGAAAGTAAACTTTTACTTTCCTGTCCCTGGCTTCTATCTCCATCTAGTCTGGGTTTTCAGCTAAATGCTGCTTTGTCCAATACAGTACTGGTAGTCACATCTGGCTACTTTGATTTAATTGCAAATTAATTAAAATTAAATACAATTAAAAATTCAGTTCCTCAGTCACACTAGCCATCTTTCCAGGGCATCAACATAAAAAGTTCTATCAGCCAGGCCAGTGTGGCTCAGTGGTTGAGCATCGACCTATGAACCAGGAGGTCACTGTTCGATTCCCTGACAGGGCACATGCCCGGGTTGCGGGCTTGATCCCCAGTGGGGAGCATATGGGAGGCAGCCGATCGATGATTTTCTCTCATCACTGATGTTTCTATCTCCCTCTTCCTTCCTCTCTGAATCAATAAAATATATATATATATTTTTAAAAGTTCTATCAGACAGTGCTGATGAGGATGTTCCTAGTGCCGGGGGCCTCCTGCTTGGCTCCGGATCACCCCTCCAACGGATGGCCCCTGGGGAGGCACGTGGGCGCCCAGAATCCTCTCCAGCTAGGCCCTGGGCAGCGCCCTCCCATGATCATCCAGTCCCAACTCCAGGCCTTGAAAGGTCAAGTTCTCTCACAGCAGCCTAGGAAAGATGCCTGGGATCTTGTCTCAGATCCATGGGAAAACAGCTCTTGGCTCCCTTAGGATATGTGAGATTCTGGATTGGGCACAGGAAGGGACCAGCTGGCTGCATGGCCATCAAGGGTCTGAGGCCTGCTTCTCCAGCTCTTGGAGTCATCTGTTCCAAATTCACCAGTTTCTATTGATAACTTTTGGGGCCCCAGCCTCCAACCTCCCAGTGAGGGCGGTACAAGTCAAGGGTGGATTACCTGCCTCAGACTAGTCACAGCATCAGCCTCTATGTCCCTAACCTTTGTCTGGCCTTTGGGGACAGTACCATGACCTACAGCATGATAAATCTCTCTGGGGATCCAGCAGACCTCACACATACATTCTCATCTCTGGGATGGGCCTGCCTGGCCAGAGCCAGCCTGTTGGTCACACCAGGCCCTCCCTTGTCTCCAATGTAACATCCTTTTTTTAAGATATATATTTTTTTTTTCTTTTATTGATTTCAGAGAGATAGAAACCTCAATGAGAGAGAACCATTGATGGGCCACCTGCTGCACGCCCCCTACTGGGGATCAAGCCCGCAACCTGGGCATGTGCACTGACCAGGGATCAAACCCTGACCTCATTCATAGGTCGACGCTCAACCACTGAGCCATACCGGCCGGGCCCAGCATAACATCCTTTTGTTGTGGGTGGCAGGAACAAGCACCAGGTGTGACAGCCATGGGGTCAGACCGGACCTGGGTTCAGCAACCTCGGTACTTGAATTCTGCGGGCTAGGCAAGAATTCAGAGAAAGACTCAAAACTGTTAGAGAAAATTTATAAAATCACAGAGATGAAAGAAGTATTTTGTAGAAGAAATGGGCTTAGGAAACAAGTTATAGAGGCAAAGGAAGGGACGTTGGACCTTAGAAGTGAGGAAGGTAAAGGTGACTCCCGAGGGGGAAGAGAAAGGCACCTGCCTGCTCCTGGGAGGGAGAGCACCCTGGGTGCTGTGTCCTAAGGGTTTTATGGGTGGGGAGATGTTAGGGGAGGCCCCAGGGGGACATCTCAGTAGAATATTCAGCAGCTTTCCAGATGTGTCCTTCCAGGGGGTCATTATTCAGTGCAGCTGGTCCTGGTGTCAGCTGTGCTGTTACTTGTCTGGTTTAGCCTGGAGCTGAAATACAACTGAGGCCTCCAGAGAGGGAAGGTCAGGGAGTCCAACCCCAAACCACAAGACCAGCAACATGCTAGAGGGAGAAAGGTCACCCTGGGAGGAGGTCCCACCTACAACTGTCTTTTGCGAGGCACCCAGGGCCTGCTGCCCTAGTGACCCTCTGTACCTGGCCCATCGTCCTTGCTCTGCTCATGTCTGTCTGTGTGCCACATCCCCCCCCCCCCCCCCAAGGATCTTGGCTCTGGATTCTTTCAGAGAAAAGGGGCACAGGGTCTCTTCTGTAGCTGCTTCCTGCTGAAGAGGAATGAAGTTTTCCTTCAGAGCTAAGAGATCCTTGCTCATTGTCAAAGGGGTAATGAGACCTGGTGACAGAAGGAGGTGACGATGGTGTCTAGAGGTGGTATTCCTGAGTACGAGTAGGTTTGTAACATGGTGGAGACAAACTGTGTTAAAAATCTTAGTATTTGCCCTAGCAAGTTTGGCTCAGAGGATAGAGTGTCTGCCTGCGGACTGAAGGGTCCCAGGTTCGATTCTGGTCAAGGGCACATGCCTGGGTTGTGGGCTCGATTAGTGGGGGGCATGCAGGAGGCAGCTGATCAATGATTCTCTGTCATCACTGATGTTTCTATCTCTCTCTCCCTCTTCCTTCCTCTCTGAAATCAATAAAAATATATTAAAAGTTAAAAAAATTTTTAGTATTATTGGGGCAAAAGCTAGAATGGCAAGAATTACAACAAATGATCCAGTGGAAGGAAAAAATGTTTTCATTCTCATTAATTCCAAGTCAAAGAATGGGAGAAAAGTGAAACCGTTTTGAGGGTTGTAGCCAAATATTTAAGAAAATTAGAAAAATTCATGATCCAGTCTAGTTTATAGGTGAAAAATATAAAGCTTTTAATTGAACTGGAATCTAATATTTACAATTGTGTATTATAGAGTCTATTGAAACATAATTTCCCACCTAAAATTACCCTCATCTATACTAATAAAAGCCTAGGTGGCCCTCTCGCGTGACCTCACAAGATGGCCACCACAAAGATGGCCACGCACACAGTGGAGGCGGGGCCTGTCAGCCGCTCCATGTGGTGAGGCCTGGGGGTCCCGTGGCTCCTTGCTGCATGGAGAAGGCTGGTCCCAGCATCTCTGCCACCTCGCGTGGAGGAGGCGCGTCCCGGCCGAGGAGGTGGGTCGCAGCAGGGGAAGGCAGTTGGGGGCCATCTGGCTGGCAGGGGAGCAGTTAGGTGGCAATCAGGCAGGCAGGCAAGCGGTTAGGAGCCAGCGGTCCCAGATTGTGAGAGGGATGTCCGACTGCTGGTTTAGGCCCGATCCCACAGGGCCTAACTCAGCAGTCGGACATCCCCTGAGGGGTCCCAGATTGGAGAGGGTGCAGGGCAGGCTGAGTGACAACCCCCCGCCATGCACGAATTTCGTGCACTGGGCCACTAGTTTTTAATAAAAAGCCAAATTAAGACCAATTTATGTATTGTATTAAGTCCAATTTCAATTTTTTGCATAAACACAGTAAGAATAGCAACTGATTAAATAGGCTTACTTTTAAAAATATATATATTTTTATTGATTTTAGAGAGGAAGGAAGAGGGAGAGATAGAAACATCAATGATGAGAGAGAATCATTGATTGGCTGCCTCCTGTGCACCCCACACTGGGGATCGAGCCTTCAACCCAGGCAGGTGCCCTGACAGGGAATGCAACTGTAACTTCCTAGTTCATAGCATTCTCAACCATGGAGCCACAGCAGCCGGGCTAGGCTTTCTTAAATCTTTTGCTGGAATTCCATGATTGACCTTTAATTAGCCCCTCAGGGCAAAGAAGCCAAGCCACCTAGTTGCCATCAAGTTTGTCTGAAATAGGTATAGAATTGGGTGAATTCCTTGCCATCTCTCAGGAAAGCAACCTTAGTTGCTTACCTGGAAAGACTGCCATGTGACGAAGCCAGGTACCTGACCATTTCTCCAAGGGACTTATTGGCTTCAAAGTCAGGCTTTCTGGGGACATCCAGAGTCCAGGCATGTCTCTCTCAGACATGACATTCCAGTCAGAGTCTTGGTTAATAAAACCACAATTGGCCCTAACCGGTTTGGCTCAGTGGATAGAGCATCGGCCTTCGGACTGAAGAGTCCCAGGTTATAAAATATATTTAAAAAAATAAAATAAAAATAAAATAAAACCACAATTGGAAACTGGGCTTGTTGAAATCATGCAAAAAAACATATTGCCATGAAAATAGTAGTACTCCAGTTTCCAAAATCTGGAGGGATTAGGTAGAGAGAAAAATACAATTTTTAAAATCCTTTTTATTTTTTTTAAATATATTTAAAGCCATTGAGCTACACTGGCCAGGCATACCAAATCCTTTTCTTTAAAAAAAAATAATAATAAATTTTTTAATTGATTTTTTACAGAGAGGAAGGGAGAAGGAGGGGGAGAGGGATAGAGAGTTAGAAACTTTGATCCTGCACACCCCCTAATGGGGATGTGCCCTCAACCAAGGTACATGCCCTTGACTGGAATCAAACCTGGGACCCTTCAGTCCACAGGCCGACGCTCTAATCCACTGAGCCAAACCAGTTAGGGCAAGGAGACTTATTTTTTTAAAAAAGAATTTGGGCCAAAACCGGTTTGGCTCAGTGGATAGAGCGTCGGCCTGCGGACTGAAAGGTCCCAGGTTCGATTCCGGTCAAGGGCATGTACCT